GAGACCATATGTTTGGATTTTTACTGATTCATGGGCAGTGGCCAATGGCCTGGCTATATGGTCAGGCAAATGGGTGATGGAAAATTGGACTATTAAGGGGACACTTGTGTGGAGCATGGACTTACAGAAAGCATTCTGGGAATTCAGAGCATTAGAGCAGGCCATGTTGATGCCCATCAGAAGAATCCCCTTCCTGGATTGGATGGTGATTGGAATCAGCAAGTGGACATGCTGGTATGCTCCCCTGGGGTGGTCAATTGGGTCCATGAAAGAACTGGACATGGGGGTGCTGCAGCAATACAGAGATGGGCTGAGTGTAGTCCACATCCTCCTTGTACCCTGAGGCACAAAATGCCAATAAGGACTGCTTTGTATGTCAGCAAGACAGATGGGCAGATTCCTTGGGGAGAAGGCCCTACACATAGCTGGCAAGTTGATTACATAGGACCCATGATGCCAGTGACTTCAGGTAGCTATAAATGGGTCCTCACAGGAACAGATCCTTACTCTAGACTGGACTCTGCTTACCTGTGACAGATACAAATGGCAAAAACACCATTAAAGGACTGGAATAAAAGATACTGTACCAATTTGGGCCACCAAGTCATAGTTCCTCAGACCAAGGAACATACTTTACAGCCCACAGGGTCCAGCAATGGGCCAAGAAGCATCATATTGCACACCATCCTCAAAGTGATGGTTTGAGAGAATTGAAATGGGCAGTTAAAACATTCATCATCTAAAATGGGAGGAGATAGAGGGCTGAAGGGCTGGCTCACCACTAGACAGATTCCTATGCTTTTCTGGGGGATCTGGAGAAGAAGGGGTAGAAGATAATGCTGGTGCCACTGTACAATTCTTCCATCCATCACCTGACACTGCTTTCCTCCTGCCAGGACCTGGGATGCAGTTGCAGGTGCCTCAGGCAGGGGTGATCCCTAAGTAAGGGATCTGGAAAGGGACTGAAACTATACCCCTGAACCTGTATGCCAGAATTCCCAAGGGCCTTATGGGATGGATTGTACTTTCCCCCCATCTGGCAAAATTGGGGCTGGCAGTGAATACTACCATCTTGCCTAGTGGTCGAGACAGCCTACTAGTTTTGTACCTATGTAGCCACACCCAAGATGAAGGGGAGCGGACTGAGGGTGATGCACTTGTAAGACTGATCTTGCTACCAGCAATTTGGACTGGCATAGCAGTTGAACCTGATGTCCCTTCCCAAGGTGGGAAAGTTTGGTAAAAATAAATGACAAATGGGAAGAAGGAGAAATAATAGCTGAAGGTAAAGGAATGAATAAATGGGTTATGCAGCAGGGGAAATCTATTTATGCTGACACCCAAAGAGAGACTCAGAGCAGGAGAACAATCTTCTCCCAGTTAAATTTTATCAGAGTCCAGGAAGGATGATGATGAGACAAACTTTTGGAGTACTGATCAGATCAGATGGACACCTGCAGCAGACCTGAATGGCTGGGACCTGAGTAACCTCATCCTTAAGACTCCTTGTTCTACTGAAGGACTAATTGTTAATGACTTTGGGACTGGAGGGGCAAATTAATCCTTCAAGTGTAAGAGGGCTAATGGCTAGAAGAGCCATGGGGTGGCCTACAGTGCAGTGAATTGCTTAATATGGCCCTTCTAGACATCACCCTCCATCTTGTGATTATAAATCCTAATCCCTATGTCTGTTTAGGGTGGGATTCAACTCCTGTCCGCTCTGCTGGAGGGTATGACTCAAGTGACCACCCACTTTGTGATGTATTGTAAATCTCATTCTCTATGCCTATTTAAGGTGGGATGGATCTGGAGTCTCACGTTACTGGAGGGTATGACTCAAGTCACCAACCTTAGCTTTTTGAGGATATATATGTGAATGCTCTCTCTTGCTCTGGTTCTGCATTTGCTTCATCATTATCTCACCCCTGGACTTGAGACAACTATTCCAGAGGCTGCTTTCTTCAAATATTTAAGAACCTTGTAAAAGGGTTCCTAGGGAGCTCTGGTGGTGTAGTGCCTAAGGCATGTGGCTGCTAACCAGAAGGCTGGTGGTTCAAACCCACCAGCCGTTCCTCGGAAGAAAGGTTGGGCAATCTACTTCCATAGTGATACTGCTTCAGAAACCCAAGGAGGGGTTGCCGTGAGTCGGATCCAACTCCATGACAATGAGTTTTTTTTTTTGGACTTGAGATAGCAGCTGTCACCTGATTTGCTGATTTGGGTTTGCTAACCCTTACAACTATGTGAGTTGGGAGAACCCTGCAGACCTACTCACAGACCTAGGACTAGCCAGCCTCCCAGCCCCCACCACTACCACGTAAGCCATTTCTTTGGGAATGGGTTTTAGTGAAGATTCCAGACTAAGACAAAGTAAAAAGAAAGGCCTGGTGATCTACTTCCAAAGATTAGCCAATTAAAACCCCATGGATCACTGTGGTCATTACTGCAACAAATTATGGGGATAGAGCATGACTGGGCAGCATTTCACTCCATTGTGCATGGGTCACCATGAGTCAAAGGTTGATTCAAAGGCAGCTAATAATAACAATAAAACAATGACTTACTGTATTTGCAAAGTAAAAGGAGATGAATTTAAAATAACTCATTTCTGGCTTGGACAACTGGGAAGCTTACAAAGCCAATCATTTAGATTCTGACTACAGGCAGAGATAATTCAAAGGGGGAACCAGGAGGCTGTTATTTCTCAGGAGAAGTATACTGGTAGAAAGGAGTTCTGGTAGCATAGTGCCTAAGGCACTGGATTGCTAACCAGAAGGCTGAAGGTTCAAACCCACCAGCCACTCCTCGGAAGGAAGATGGGGCAATCTACTTCCGTAGTGATACTGCCTCGGAAACTCAAGGAGGGGTCGCTATGAGTCGGGGCTGACTCGATGGCACATAACAACAACATGAACTAAGGGTTAACAATAAATAGATTTGAGAGAAATTTAAGAAGTAAAATCAACAGGACTTGGTGATCATTTGGATATGAAAGAAAAAGAGAGTCAAAGATGACCCCCAAATTTCTGGCTTGTATTCTGTGGAAGGTCATTGTGGTAGGTTGGTCTCATATCCATAAATCCTTCTTATCCTGGTATGAACCCATTACTTCAATGTAACTTTGTCGTTCCTGACACTTTCACTTCTCCCATGCACGGATACAATCTATTTCTCCACCCTGGAAACTGGACTGACTTTGTGACTTGCTTTGGCAAATACTGTGTGATGGAAGTAATGTACATGACTTTGAAGGCTTGGCCTCAGAAAAGTATAGCAGTTTTCACACTTACGAGTGCAGACCTGAGACTGCTATGTAAAGAAGCTGGTCCAGCCTCCTAGAGGATGACAGGCAGAAGAACCAAGCCGATCTCACTGCCAGTATCAACTATGAATAAGGCCATCTTGGACTCTTCAGTCCAGCTGACCCACTAGCAACACAGCCATATAAATGAGGCCAGAAGGAATCAGCAGAAGAACTGCCCATCCAATTCACAGAATTATGAGAAATCATTGCTTTAAGTCACTAAGTTTTGGAATGGTTACATAATTAGAGATAACCGAAAAAAACAAACAGGGAAATTAAGAGAAGGAAGCCTGAAACATTATGCCTTCTTATCTTTGTCTGGAGATGAACTAAAAAAAATTATTTAATTAGCAAACAATCTTAAAGAGTACAAACTTCGGGGAAGGGCGTTTAAGGAATTTCTAAGGCACCAGATACCTGAATAATAACGATGATGGGGGTATTGGGATGTTAATTAGAGATACAAAAAAATCTACCTTTTGGATAAAGAAGGAAAAGTCAAACAGGCAGGATGCTTCAAACTCCTCGAACCAAAAGTAGAGGTCTAGGGTATACTCTCCAAAACGAAACTCAACGCACTGCCCTGAAGTCAGATGCGACTCATGGCGAGCCCTCCTTGTGTTTCCGAGGTGATATCACTACCGTAGTGGATCGCCCAACCTTCCTTCCGGGGAGTGGCTGGGGAGTTTAAAACACCAGCCTTCTGGTTAGCAGTGAAATGCCTTACGCACTACAATACCAGATCCCCTCAAACCTTGGATAAATCAAATAAACCAGGTCTCTTAGGAGAAGACTTTTCAGCATGCTCAATAAAAAGAATACCTGAAGAAAGAATTAAACTTAGATAAAAAAACATAAAAGCTAACAGTGGCTATAGAAAAAGTTCCAACACTCACAAAGCAAAGTATGGATTGCAAATCTCATGGAAGGAGTTAACCAATATCTGGTTGTTTTGTGAATGAATAGAAAAGTAAGTCAAAAGATTCAATGATTAAGAATACATCTAAGAAAAATAAAAACGGAAAAAAAAAAAAAAACCCACCTTAGATAATACCGCACAAATTTGGGAGATTAAGGCCATTGTTTTAAAACATCAACTTTAAAAACTATACTTCTGTTAGAGTAGCTTCTTTGAGTGCAATAACGTTTAAAACCATAAACCGCATGAAATGCGCATAAGCGTACGTGAATGCCAGAAGAGAACCAAAGTAAAAGGCTGTGTAATACTTAAAGAGAGAACACTAACAATTAAGAGAGAGAAATAAATTGGGATTGTATGCCTGGACGACCCTTAGAGAGCTTCCCTCTAAGGTTTGGGAGCCTGGTCATTAACGGTAATCCCTTGCATTTCTGTACAGATAGAAACAACTTTCACTTCTTTACACGCTTTATTACTTGTCATTATTATTTTTTGTCATGTGATTTACAAATTGTTTTTGATTGGAGCTCTGTAAGGGAAGCTGAGTACCCAAGAAAAAGTCTGAAGTCAGACGAGCGCTGTTAGAAACCTGGGGCCAGGAAGCATCAACCAAGGATGATTAAGCCACGTCGCATTCCGAACACAGTAATCCCTAAGGAAGCTTAGTCTTACCGCCCTCTTCAAGTGAGGCTCCTAAACGGCGCCGAATCGCCCGTCCTCCTAAGTGCAATCCCCCCTATTCACCCTGAGAAAGCCGCAGAGGTGATCTCAACTCACCGCCTGAAGCACAGTCATCAACAACCACCGCATCCCAAACGTCGGCCCCAACCATCCTCCAGTCCCAGACGCCATCGCCAGCTTGTTCTGTAGGTCTCCAGCTAGACAAAGGACCCCTTAGCTAGGGCAGTCCACTTCAGAGCCTGATCCAAAAAAAACTCCTAAGAACTGATGCCATCAACTATCTCATTCTGCAGAGACAGATATTACCTAATGACATATAAAACCTTAAATATGATAAAATATAAAGAAAATCGCCGGATCCTTCCGATAACCCAAATCGGGCATTTTCCTAAACTCCCCAAATCCATGCATCTCCGGTTTGTTTCTTTCATTCACGACAGTTCGTCAAGCGGCCAAGAAGCCCCGCCTTCGTCAGTTTCGGCCTGCCTCTTTCTCCAAGTTTATCCAACCACATGCTGCTTTAGTTGAGACCTGTGGCAGAGAAAACCAACCGTAACGCGAACCTGGAGCGTTGAGACGCGGTTCTTCGGACCAATAAGCACAACGGAGTGGGATGAGAGGTGGAGCTTCTGGTTGCCGAGCAGCGTACGTGGATGCGTGCGCGTGGTGGCGGAGGGGGATGGGCGGGGGCGGGGCCGAGGGCAGCGCAGCCGCAGCCGCATCGCTGGTGGAGGAGCGCGCGGCCGTGAGCTAAGGAGGGAGGGAAGGAAGCAAGAGAAGGAGGCGGGCAGGCAGGCGGGTGCGGGGTCGGGACTAAGGCATAGAGGGAGGCGAGAGCCGGGCAGCCGCTTCGCGCTGTTTGCTGCGCGGGCTTTTGGAGGGGGTGCCCCTTGAGTCTGCCGAGGAAGAGCAAGCACCGGCGGCGTTTGTACTGGCGCCTGGGGGCGGGGGACTGGGGAGGCGAGAAGGGGGGTCGCTGCGGTGGTTCTCTCGCTGTCGCGCACTCCTAGCCTCTTTCCGGGCTTGGTGGGTTTCTCCCGGCGTCTCTCTTGTCTCCGGGGTCCCGCTCCCCGCCCCCCGCGGTATGTCTTGATCCCGAGCTGCGGGTTACATGGGGCTCCTCAGGATTATGATGCCGCCCAAGTTGCAGCTGCTGGCGGTGGTGGCCTTCGCGGTGGCGATGCTCTTCTTGGAGAACCAGATCCAGAAACTGGAGGAGTCCCAGTCGAAGCTAGGTGAGGAGCCGAGCCACTCTGGACTGTGTTGTGAAAGGGGCCGGGCCGGGCAGGTATTGCAACCAGAGCAAATGGGCGTTTGTCTTCCCTGGGTCTGGCTGGGGAAGCTGGGACTGGGGACAGAGAGAGCACAATCTCCAAGAATGGGGTGAATTAAGCTTGAGTGGCGTGCTGGGCTCGCGAGGTCACGGACAGAGGCTGCAATGTTGGATTTTCCTTAGCCAGAAGGTTGCCCCGAAGTAGGTAGGCAAGCATTCCACGGAGAGCGCGCCAGACAGGACTGAACTCGGTGGGGAGTGGGTGCTGTTGAAGGAGATGAAAACCTTCAGCCTTGCTTATACTCTTAAAGTCGCACAGATAGCCTCGGCAATGTCAGAGAAAGGCTAATTCTAATTTGAGATGTGGGCACTTGCACACGGATCTTTTGGGATGGGGGTTTACGAAGGGATAGATAGATGCGCAGAAACGAAGGAGATGCCGGGTGTGATGGTGAGTGAAAAAAATACACTGTAGTGAGTTGCACTCTAGTGCTGGGGGCAGCAAGGGACCACACAACTGAAGGGAGAGGTAGGCTGCTCAGGTAGGACAGCAGAGCAAATAAAAAGCTTCCACAGAGTACGGATACGAGGCATCCGGGGCTTTAAATTATTTTTTAGTGGCGCTATAAACCGATGAAAGTTTTGGATTTAAGAATAGGGAGTATAAATGCGTTGTTTCGCGGCAATGGTGATGGAGTGAGTTTAGGAGAGGAGGGAACGCGGAAGAGGATTTATGGTGAGGTTTACATTTATGAAGGGAAAAGTAAGATTACGCAGAAAGTTAACTGTATGGTTAAGAACTGTAAGAAGTTAACATTGCTTACTTTAATAGGTGACATGCTCTGAAGTACAAAAACTTCGAATGTAGAGTGGTGAAAGGTAAACCAGAAAAATGCACAGATATTGAGTACTTTAAATTTAGCGGGGAACTTGGGCATTTGGAAGAGCTCAGGTGGGAAACGAGTTAAAAGAATGTCAGTGATACATTTTGATTTGAAAATGTACATGACACTTAAAAAATCAAATGAAGAGACTGTATTTGATCGTGGAAAAGTAAGGTGAAGTGTTTATATGAATGCACTTTCATCTCAGCATCATTTAAAGGAAGTACTTTTGAAAAGCAAGCAATGAAATACCTTCAGCAATTTAATTTAGACGAAGGAGTAACTATGAAAAACAGCTAGAGGCTGCTGTAGATGATGGTTAATTTTTAGAAAAAGTGTGTCAAGAACTAATTGTAGTATTACATATAGTAGCTTTTTCCAGTTTTGGTAGACTTTGCAAAAGCCCTGGAGACATTTTTAAGAGCACTGTAGCAAAGATTATCAAAGAACATTTAGTAAGTCTGATTGAAGTGCAGCTAAAGTTGAAGACATGAAAATGATTCCAGTCCCCAACACTAGAGTAAAAACCATATCGTACAATTCTGAACCAGTGCCACATTTATTTACTGTGATTTTATTAATATTGTCTTGTATGAGTAGATAAAGTGTTCATACAGGTTGACCAGTATGCTTTTTCTTTTTGTTTAGGTACTTTTAGCAGTATTCAGGATCATATTCTGAAGTTGTTAATAATACAACTATAGACAAAAATGATTAAAATTTATGTTTATTCTTTGTTGTATTGCTATTTGGAGTTCTTTGGAATTGATTTCTTAGACATGACAGTGGAATAGAATGCATACTTTAACTTTTGATCTTCTTTCCTTTCTTAACACTTTTTTTCACAATACTTGAAGGTGGTTTCCATAGAGACAACATGAATGATTTTAAAAAGTTATCTAAAGTTGTAGAAAGCCACAGGTAGGAAGTAACATGTTTTCAAATATTCTTTTTAAAAAAAAAGAGAAGAAAAACCTTTACATTTTATTGGAAATAGTAAATGTGGATCAAAAGAAGTAATTCTCAAAAATGATTAAAGAAAAGAAGCTTCTAAAACAAAACAGTTGAAGGATGTAATAATTCTCTGGAGATGCAAAAACATGGCAAAAAAAAAGTATAACTATTTATATAAGCAGTCTTGCTTTTTTTAAAGTCTTGTAAAAGTTAGTATTTTTAATGTTGCCATTTAGTAATTTGACCGTTGGGAAAGGAAGGAGAAAGAAGGCGTATTGACTGCCAGCCTCTGTATTAGGACCTTTTGTCTGTGATACTCTTATTTAATCTTCCAAGAATGCCATAGAAAACCATTTCTGCAGGTGTTGGAAAGGCTCAGAGGTTATATTACTTGCCCAGGATCTCATAGGCAGTAAGTGGTAAAGCTAGGTTTGGAACCCAGATGAGTTTGATTCTAAACCCAGTGCTCTTTTAGTTGTGCTGTGCTACTTGAGGCTTTATATTGGTGTTACCCTTAGATTTAGCTGTTTTAATATAATTTTTAAACTATAATACCAGTGCTTAATTGCGTTTATTGCTAGGAATGAATATCATTTTGAGAAAACCTAATTTCTCACACAAAGGAATTGGTTTAGTATAATGTCTGCCCCTTGTTTGTATGTCTGTAATGAACGTAATTGTATTACCCAATGAAAACAAGTATGGGATCATGGTATACGTACTACTCTGCAGTCTGTTTTTTTTTTTTTTTTAAATGTAGAAGCATAGAGATCTTTCTAGATTAATGTGTATATTCTTACTCTAATAAAACCCAACCCAACCCATTGCTACTGAATCGATTCAGACTCATATTGACTCTAATAGGATAGAACTCTGGTAGCATAGTGGCTAAAGCACTTGACTGCTAAGCAGAAGGCTGGCGGTTCAAACCCACCAGCCACTCCTCGGAAGGAAGGTTGGGCAATCCTACTTCCGTAGTGATACTGCCTCGGAAACCCAAGGAGGGGTCGCTATGAGTCGGGGCCGACTCGACGGCACACAACAACAACAACAACAACAACAACAGTACCTAAAGCATTTGACTGCTAACCAGAAGGTTAGCCAGTGGTTCAAACCCACCAGCCACTCCACGGAAGGAAGACTCGGTAATCTACTTCCCTAAAGATTTACTGCCTTGGAAACCCAAAGGGGGTTGCAACTGCCACCCTTTTGGTTAACAGCTGAATGCTTTAACCACTGTGCCACCAGAGCTCCTCTCATTTCCACGGTTGTATAATACTCCATAGTATGCGTGTGTTGTAAATTATGAAGCCATTATGCCAGTAATGAACATTCAGGCTGCCCCTCTTCTTTCTTTCTTATTTTCTTTTTTTTACTGTTCTTTTCTCTGGTTATTACAAACAGTGGTACGAGAAACATCCTTTTATGTCCAGTTATTTCCTTATGTGTTGATACCAGTAGCTCTTATATGTAGGATTGCTCTGACAAAGGTTATATGTTTTGTAATTTTAACAGATTTTAAAATACGTTTGTTGTTGTTATTGTTGTGATGTGCTGTTGAGTCGGACCCGCTTCATAACGACCCCTCCTTGCGTTGCCAAGGCAGTATCACTACAGAAGTAGATTGCCCAACCTTTCTTCCAAGGAGTGGCTGGTGAATTTGAACCGCCAGCCTTCTGGTTAGTAGTCAAGTACCTTAGGCACTATGCTACCAGAGCTCCCTAAAATACGTTAGTTTCCCAAAAAAAAATATTTCCTGAAAGTTTACGGTAATTTACACTGTCCTCACATGCTCACAAGTACTGGATGCTATCAGTTTCTAATTTTTGCTAGTTTGAGCCTGTGAAATGATATGTTTTTGCATTAATTTACATTTCTCCAACTTCTAGTTAGGTTGAACATCTTTATGTATGCTTATTTCCCTTTTAACTTGCTAGTTAATTTGTCTATATTTTTCTGTTAACTAGTTTATCTTGCTAATTTTTAGGTTTTTTTTAAATATATATATTAGAATTAGTAATTCTTTATCTGTCATACGTCTTGCATCTGTTTTTCTCCAAAGTCATTTGTTTCTTGACTTTGTTTATGATGTGTTTTACTTATAGAGAAGTTTAAAAATTTGCATAGTCAATATATCAATTTAGACGAGTAGCTTTTCTATGTTTTTTAAGAAGACTCTACCCACTACCTAACCAAGATTAGGTACATTCTCTATATTTATTACAATATTTTATAGTTTACCTTTTGAAATTTACCCCTTTAAACCATTCATGTGTTTATAGAGATTGTTGCCATTTCTCTCAGTGAATAGCTACTTATGCCAAATATTGTATTAGTAGACCTTTGTTTTTTCCTTTTTAATCATATATTAAGTTTTAAATGTTTTTGGATCATTTTTGGACTCTCCTTTTCCACCAATCAGAGTTTCTTAGAAACTTGAGGGTCTCATAGGCTTCAAGGCATCCATAAGTTTACTGAAATATATGCATAGCTTTCATTAAATTTGGAAAGTAGTATGCGATCCCGTTAATAGTAAGAATGACTGATTCTTATAGTAAATGTTTAATATTTAATGAACTAAGTATGTTTTTTGTTTTTAATGTTAACATATTACAACATGTAGCTTGTGAGTGAGATTTTGGAGAAAAGCACACTAGTTAAAAAAATTCTGTGGGAAGAGTAGAAAATGACAAGTCAAAATGATAACTAGCTGTGGCTTAGAACTATACGTAAATCAGAATTTATTGGTCTTAAAATGTAGTTCTTTCTGGAAGATGTTAAACCTTGGGTACCTTTGTCACAACTTAAAGGAACTAAAGCACTCATTTGGACTTGCTGGTTGTCTGGAAACTTAAACTCGAAGGTGAAATGCCCTGTGCTTAGAAGCAGTAGACAGTTTTCTGAAGGTTGTGTGAAACAAGACCTCACCCATTCTGTTGAATGCAAGCTTCTGAGGTTGTTAGACTTTGTTTAAATTTTATTGGTTTTGAGGTTGCTTTGTGTTGACAACTTGAATTAATTGACTGGTAAGAATTTTTTCTGCAGACTATTGATAAATTAGCTGTTTTCATATTCATTGCTTTGGTCTTAACATGCTTTTAGGGTCTGTAGACTAATAGCTTTC